TAAGTTTTTTTAGTCATGCCAAATTTGAGCTCATATTTCTATTTCAAATCGAGTTCAAGCCTGAACTTGAACCTCATGTTTATGTAAGGTTTTTTTTAATACTTTGGGTTTGGGGTGAGTAGGGGTGTCAATTAGACCAGTTTTGGTCCAATCTGATCCAATCCAATGTGAATCCATTACACATGGACCAGGTCCAATCCAATTTAACAAATACTTTAGACCATTTAGGACAAGTCCAATTCAACGTCTGGACTGTCCAATCTGTTCAAATTGGTTTTAATTTAGATTTGTTCTAACCCAAACCTAGTTTATTGACACTTGTATTCTTATCTTCTATTAATGGATCAGATTTTGGTTCAATCTGACTCAATCCAATATAAATATATTACGGATGGATCAATCCAATAAATAATTTGGACCATTAAATTTGGACTGGTCCAATTCAATATATCTTATTGGTCCATCCAATCCATCCAAATTGATTTTGATTTGGACAGGGTCCAATCACCAGTCCATTGAGACCCCTAATTGAGACTGACCCACTTTATGATTGACTTTTGTTCCTTCAATTAGTGCTATTGGACCCTGTTATTTCTTTCTTGTGTAATAACTTAATTGAGAGTTTGGATCTAGTCCCAACAAGCCACCGAAGCCAAGTATAGGGAACATCTCCCTTGCCCTCCATGGCATGCACCCAATGTATGGCTGCAATGGCTTGTTGGGACGTTGTTGGAATTGTGAGTTGGGACCAGATTTGGATTTCTGATCATTCTAGATCTACTACCCACAAACTGTTCCCAATTTGTACCACAAAACACCAACGCCATGTGCAGCTGTAATGTCCCATGTCTAGGGATGTGGGAACAATTCGTGGATAGCCCCATCCTGATAACTAAGCAAAAGCAACGTAATCCTTCATGTGCAACTGTAATGTCCCATGTGTAGGGATGTGGGAACAACTAGTGGGTAGCCCATCCTGATAACTAAGCAAAAGCAACTATAGTAATCCTTCCCTAACGATACTTTTCCTTTGAAAATAGGTCATCCATTGTCGTAAGTGCTAATGAAATTTGGAGATATCACGAACTTCTATGCATARCCCGATGGATTGTTAGACATGGGTTGTGTTTGGTATAGCTTCCATTACTTGATTTATTTTCAAAATTGAGAAAAAGTGATTGATAAACGTTTTTTTTTGGATTTCTTGACAACTAGACACCACTAGGCACCATATCAGCAGTAAATAAGCACTTAACCATTGAGGGAAGCATTAAAATGAGGCTTCCCCCAATGGCATGGTTTTCAAAATGGACCGGATCGGAAAAACCAAGAACCGGTCAGGTAACCGGTTCCGTTTCCCCCAAAACCAGATTTTCTCAAAAAAACGTTGATTTTGGTAAGCAAACCGCTGAACTGGGCGGTTAACCATTCGAACGGTTTTGGCCATTTTTTAATTTTTTTTGTTAGAATGGGCTGAACCCAGTAATCGGACCCTTGACCGGTCCGATCTCCGGGTCGGTTTTAAAAACCATGCCCAACAGTTAATATGCATGTAAATCAAGACAACTTTATCAATAACTATATGTACGAATCAATATGATGAGACATGCTGATTTAGCGATGACATGACACCATTTATCAAATAAATGGAAGCCATACCAAACACATAGTTGGTTTTGGATTTTGTACGTATAGGGGGTGAGTAGCCAACTAGCTTTCTTGAACCTTGAATTCTGTCTCAACTCTCGACTAAGCCAATGGAGTTTGTTGTGCAAGTCCGTAACACTATCCACTATCCAAACTCGAATTCTAATCTAACTAGCGAAGGGGCCCTGCTTTGCAGGGGCTAGAATGGAACCGCCAACCTGTTGATTCGTTGACCCGGTCCCTAGTCAAAAACCGTTGAATCGGTCAATGATCCATTGATCCAAGTGTTAGACAGTTTTGTATGCCCTTAGCTCCAATAAGTTTTAATGTACTTTTGACATTTAATGTAAATGAATAAAGTGTATGTTTGATTCATGTTATGTGGTATGTTTTTGTGTAAGACCCTTAAATTGGATACTTAATGAGACTCGTGTTAGTTTAGAATGTTCACAGCCGTTGGATAAGTCTAGGGAGATTTGTCCTGCCAAGGCTAACACTGGTGTGTTGCCAAGTGTTGGGGTGGCCTGTCTCAACTGCCAGGGTGAGACCCAAAGCACATGCAGTGTAGGATTACTTGAATCTTTGAACCGGACCAGATTTTCGGTATTGCCCTGGACCTTGGTGATTGATGGACAAAACTAAAAAGTTACACCTGACCCCTAGACTCGATTATGATACTGCACTAGGTGTCGGATTGGGTTGTCTTTGATATGCCAATCAGTGAGATCCTTAGTAGGGGTCAAAACCCGGGTATGTTGGGATAGTCTGAGAATTCATCTGAGTAGGTGATCATAGTGACAGGATAAACCCCTTTGTCGGACAAAGGTAATGATCGAGGATGCGCTCTCTCTGATGGAAACCAAACTACCGGCAGTTGATTTCAATCGTTGGAATTTTGTTTTGCAAAATTTATATATAAGATATATAGATATATATGGTTTCAAAATGTTTGCAAATGGTTTTAATTCCCGGGATCCATATGAGCAGAGAGTGCAACACTGTTCCTTGCAGCCGAGGGAGATGTCATCTCTTGTCGGACAGTGTTTGATCATTATGGGCTGAGAGGTTAAGTGTAAGGCCATTTAGGGTTATACCTGATGGGATAATTTTGCATCTGCCCACAGTCCCTAGGTTTTTATAAGATGGCTTGGCCGAGGGACCACTTAGCGAAAGTGTTGGGCGCATAGAGTCCATGTGATGGGCTCAAGGGGTTCACTGGGTTCTCCAGTGAATTCGACTAGGCCTTGTAACAAAGGCTGGGCTGAACCCATGTGGCTGATGTATAGATCAATGCTTGGGTCCCACGCCGTACAAAGAAGCCCAACTGGGCAACAGTTTGGAAGCCTGTGGAGCACTGAATACATATTGGGCCTAAAGCCCATTTCGAATTGGTTGATTTAATTATCCACTTAAAGGGGCAGATTTGAGATTCAAATAAAGATTTGAATCTGGTAACCTTCTGATAAGATCAGGAGTGGGCTGACCTAATCTGCAGATAGGATTAAGATAATTCCCTATCCAAATACAGATTTGGATTGGGATAACTCCTAATAGGATTAGGAGGTTTCTTAATCACTAAGAAAGAGGAGAAACCCTAATCTTGAATTACAAGAATTCGAACCAGGGGTTTRGCAGATACATTCTCCTGCAACTTGAGATAGGATCTCAGAAACCCTAGATAGAAGAAAAGCAAATACGCCAACTTCAGCTCTAGAGTTCTCCTCCAGTCGTCACCATTCACTGCCTGGTTCGATCTCTCTGAGAGGGAAAGATCAAGAAGGTGTTCTTGATATCAGTCATTGCTGAAAGGCTGATTATGTACGGTGCTCTTCGCTTCCATCGAATTCTTGTGAAGAATTTGGTTCGTAAGACGAACACTGCTGGTTCTGTTCCAATATCACTGCATCATCTTCAGTGGGAGCAGATCTTGGGAGTATTCTTTGGGCGTGAACACCGACGTTGGGAGATGCCGACTCTCCGTATCAGGTACAACCCTTCCCTTTCTCTTTGGTTCAGATGTTGTTCGGTTTTGGTTCGATTAGATCTTTGAATATTGTATTCTAAAATCAGGGAATATGATTCCCAATTGGAAGGGAGGAGAGAAATTTTGAAATTCGCCCACCCTATTCTGTTGCTTTCTTGGCGTCCATACGATGAATCTCTCCCTCCTTTCACCAAGCGGTCAAACCATTGACCCATTGACCTGTAAAATGGTTTTTGGTCGTTTATTTTTTTTAATTGGGAACCATCCAGGTAACTGGTTCCATTTTATCCTAATTTCGGTCCCTGGCAAAAAATCGTTGAATCGGTCAACGACCCATTGACCCGGGCAGTCAAATCATTGACCCGTTCAATGGTTTTTTGTCATTTTTTTATTTGTTAATTTTTGTTGTCAGAACGGGCCATCCGTTCGAACCGAACAATCGAACCGTCGACCCAAAAGTTGGTGGCTAGAACGATTCCATTTTTAGGTCGTATGAGTCACATGCTTGAATGGCATAACACATATGATACTGCTTAATGAACCTCACACACTCGATTTTTTGCCTATAATTTTTGTTGTCAAAACGGGTTGTCATTTTTTTATTTTTTTAATTCAGAACCGTCCAGGCAACTAGTTCCGTTTTACCCCAATCCCAGTCCCTAGCCAAAAATCATTGAATTGGTCAACGACCCATTGACCCGAGTGGTCGAACCGTCAACCCGTTGACCCGTTCAATGGTTTTTGGACTTTTTTTTATTTTTTAATTTTTATTGTCATAATGGGCTATTTGTTCAAACTAGACGGTCAAACCATCGACTCAAAAACCGGTGGCCAAAATGATTCCATTTTTGGGTCATATGAGTCACACGCTCGAATGACATAACATCATAGTTTTTAAAACTGACCTAGAGATCAAACCGGTCAGGAGTCCAGTTATTAAGTCGAACGGTCTGACTGTTTGAATCAGATAGTTGAACCGTTGACCTGAAAACCGATAGATAGAACAATTCCATTTTCGGGTCGTATGAGTCACACGCTTGAATAACATAACATCATGACTTTTAAAACCGACCCGGAGACCGAACTGGTCAAGGGTCCAGTTATCAGGTCGAATGGTCGGTTTGTCTGACATAACTATTTGAACGATTCGATATAATACCTATTATATATTTATATAATTAGATAATTATATAATCACATAATTAATTATCTAACAATTAGGAAATGGGTTGCTCTCACGTGGGAATCTACACGCACGAGTAGATTCCATTTCGTGCACGGAAAGAGCATCCCAATCCTTTTAATATATATATATAAGATCTGGTCAAAACAATTCGAATTTGATCCATTTGTAAATGGATGAAATATGGATCCCCAATTCTGCAACATGCATTGCATTTGGCATCGGTGGGCAAAATGCTTTGTCAAAGGAACACAAGCGTTAAAACGAAAACGGAAAGTGAGTGACAGTGAACCATATTTCCAAATAATTTTCCCTGAACCCAGACGAGGATTTCTAAAGAGGCGTCCAGAGCAAAGAGCTCCAGCCTCCATGGACTAAGGTAAGGTCTAAGGTACACTGTCAAATTCGGGCTAACGAAGCCCAAACATAAAATACCCCAATATGATCTCATTTACGATTCAATGAGAGAAAAAGAATGCCAACGTCCACATAAACATGTAATTCCACAACTGTAGAAACAGACCGCCTGAAAACGTGAACGTCCACATATTTGTAAGCAGCAACCAGTGAGACCAAAGGGTTGATGTGGCGAATTCTTTTCCTTTTTATCCCCTTTTTTAAGGGCAGGGAATGAAACTCAGCTCAGCGGTAAGATGGTGGGCCAGCAAATGAGTACCGAGATGAGACTGATTGGGATGTAAGATCACCTCTGCCACCCAAATGGTGTCTCTGGTTGTAATCCGACAGGACATTGGAAGCATACGTTGAATATGAACCTTCCACTTCATCAGGTCTTCTCCTTCCCAAGTAATCAGCGGTGCCTCTTTCTTGGTAATCAGAGTCAGTGCGATAACTCTCTCTCCTTGGGACCAAAGGATAATGCTCTGAAGAAGCTGTCTCTCTCCTTGGTAGGGGAGGATACACACCAGAGTATACAGCACCATAAGGTCCATAACCAACAGGATAGCATGACTCCTTTGTGTGAGGGACTGAAGTACCAGTAGCAGGCAGTGTTGAAGTAGGTGGTTCTCGTGCAAGACCGTAGGTTCGATACTCTCTCTCACTTAGGAAGAGTGCATCACGACCTGTTTCTCCATCTAAAGGGGCAGGTTGCCCCATGCGCTGCCCCCTTCCATAGTGTGCAGGAGCAGTAGGATAGGAAATATCAGGAGGATTTGAGGGGCGCCTGACAAGACCATAGAGCCGGTATTCCTTCTCACTCAGAAAAAGTGGATCAGATGGAGGCTCTCTTCTGCCCTCTTCATGATCAGATGGAAGCTCTCTTCTTCCCTGAAAATCCTCTGCATGTACGGTTGCCATTGGTGGCACCCATGGGAGAGTTGCTGACTGGGATGAAAGAAAAGATTGAGCATTTGATTGGATTTCTGGTGCAGGGCGGAACAGTTCCATGAGCTTCTTTACCTGAAAGAGGATATTGGTGACACAAAGTCTAAATTATGGGGAAAGAATAATCACTGAGCTCTTTGGAATTAAAAAAGGGTGATCAGTTGATAGCTGGGCAATCAGGTGTGTTTATTACTTGTTGGAATGAAAGCTCTGTCTTAAACTTGTTCTTTTCATTGTAGTTGTCCTGGATTGCCTTCTTAAAAGCATTCTCTGGTAGTGGAATGCAATCCTTGTGAATCTTGAACCGCACCTGCAGGAAAGAGTCATAAAAAATGTACCCGATTATCAACTATATGTGCGGTAAAAGAAATGGCATCTCATGCACGAAGGAGATTGATGAAATAAAACCTGAATAGGGAATTCACCACCAAAAGCAGCTGGCTCAAGTTTTTTGCCACCAGCAGAAGCTGCCTTGTAGATTCCATACAGAAGCTTCAGATCAAAATCATAGAGGAAGAGTTTTAGACCTGGCTTGATTCCCATGACAAGCTCTTGCTTGCTTGCTGGGACACCCATGACCTGGTAGCGGAAACAATCTGGCTTGGTCTTTGCATTACACATGAAGATCAAGCCACCAAGTTCTTCCTTGTCCTTTTGGTCTCCACGGCTATTTTCACCACGTTTTTCATTGTTAACATTCCCCTCTTTCTTTCCTTCTTGTAAATGTGGCTTCTTTTCATCCTTCTGTGGCTTGGTGTTAACTTTCTCCTTGCTCTCCTGCATGTCTTTCTTCTTCATTTTCTCTTGATCCTGTGAAGTGCCCTTGGATTCTTTTATCTTTRCAGAGTTCTGGTTGGGAGGATTCTTCATGATTTTAGGTTTAGGCTTCAAAGTCTTTGAAGTTTCTTTTTCAGGTGGCAATGATGTTGATGGGGCTTCAGCAACATGCTGGTTTTTCTTTTTTTTTTGCCCACGTGCCATGGTCTATCAGTGCCACCAATCTCCAAAACAAGTATAGCTATATGCAAGAAAAATGTAGTTTTGGTTAACCTCATTAGCTTTTATTTCAAGTTTCAGAAAAAAGATGAGAAACTAACAAGCATGTGACCAGCACAGAGAAATCTGGTATAAACAGGAAACTCACCAAAGAGAGAAATGAGAGTGAAAAGGGTCACAAATATAAATAGATTCCAACATACCACTCATCTAGACAAAGATTTATTTTGGTTTGATCCATATGGCAAACATTTGGCTACTCCAAGACATCATTATGAAATCTGTCAATAAAAGCCATCTATGATCATTTTCTTTTACCTTGGAAACAAAGTGATTGTTTTGTAACTTCCAACGAACCCAAGAAAGTGAACAACCCTATAGAACTCAAGAACTTCTCTATCCAAGCATAGCTTGGTATTCAAAAAGATCATAATAGACTTGCAACTGCCATCCAGAAGACTTTTCTATGTTTCAAAGGACATAGGTTTCTTTGTATCTTCTAAGATCATGTCAGCCTTACAGGTTCTAGTCTCTTAAAATCTAGTGAATTCACTACCCCCAAAATTCATTACAATGTCAATAATCCCCATCTTGATGTTCTCCACAAATTGCAAACATGGTGGAATTCTTGTTTCTAAGATCTAAAACATGTGGAACAAATAAATTTTTCATTCCAACATATAGTAATAAAAAGAAATATGGTAAATTTTAGGGTTATAAGAATCCTAAAGAATTCTATTCTCAAGGAAGTTGTATCACAAAATAAAGCCCCAAAGCATGGTGTGGCTGTGATGTCATATGCCATACTGAGCATATCTGACACTGGCAATTCCATAGAGCAGAGTTCAACAGATGATGTCTAGAGATCATCCGCCAAATATTGTCAGTACAATACTCTTGGGGATGCAGTATGTATCTAGGATCCAGACCTGTGAAATGCTAAAATCATGAAATATGGATACACCTATGGGTAGGAGTGTCAACAGATGATGTCTAGAGATGTGTCATATGCCATACTGAGCATATCTGACCAGTATGGCATATGCCGTACTGGATATGACCCGATTCGTGATTCGACATAATCGAATCGAATTTGGATATGACCTAATTCGATTCRATAAATATCCAAATTCGGCCAATTATTTAATTCTTATATAATACATAAAATATTTAAACATTTTATATAATTTATATATGCATAATATTTAAATTATATAAATAATTTATATATTTATATACTTTATATAAATAAAATATTTATTAATTACCTAAAATAATTAATCGGTCGAATTCTAATCAAATTTGAATTCGGATATTGCCTGATTCGATTCAAATTCAATCTGTTTACACTCCTACCTATGGGTACAAGTAGGTTGTATGCAGAATAATAAATAAATTGCTACAGGTTATATTTATCAATCTAGCTGCATTCCATAGTTATAGGATAGAGAATTTTCATCAATAAAAAATACAATAACAAACTTGCGACATGACAATCAAGAATCCTAAGTTTTAGCATACTACACTTCTACAATAGATTAGGTCATCAGGCACTGCATTTCTTCAAGTTATGGCTTAAAATTGCAGTATTCTCATAACAGTATCAACTAATAATTTAATTATTTAAATTATAAAATCAAAGCAACAACAATGTTAACTGGACTTCTAAAGGTTTGCATTTCTGTTTTCTGAAATCACAATGGTCCAGGAAATACAAGATTTCATTTAACTTTGGGTTACTCTCAAACATTTCGCAATCACTTGCAAAAACTGCCTTCAGTTGTTTTCCCTTTTTATTTACATATATTATGAATGACTCGGACGAGTTTGTAATTAACAGCTCCATCATTCCAAGGAGGATGTAATCTGAACGTCTCCTAGAAAACTAAAAAACGGAACATCTAGACAAAGTCAAACAAATTGTATGCGTTACACAGTCATTATATTAGAACACACGAAGCAGAAATGGACAATAAGCCTTAAGCAACTAAACTCAACGAAATTCATGAACGGAAAATAATTAAACACTTCCTCGAAAATCAATTATATTTATAGAATTCCAGTCTCCAAAAATCTCAACTAAACAACAATTTTCAAGCACACACACAGCAACCTATTATGGTACTAGCACCAGACCATCATTACTCTAATCGAATTTCGTTTCAATAAAGATCAAGCAAGGAAAGGTCATCAAATTCAAGAAATGAAACTTGGAAGACTCACTCTCTACGAAACCCTAACTTCAACTATAACTGTATAGCATACTAATTAGCTTTCTGTTTGGAAGAAAGAGAAGAAAAGCAGGTACCTCTCGAGAAGCTCAGATTCCGATCTCGAGATTTTGGCTTAACAGCAGGGAACCAGTGATAAAGGTAATATTTGAAGAAACGAAGAAAAATGAAGGACGAGAGAAACAACGCGAGACCAGAAGGCCCAAAACCAAGTCTAGCTCAGGTGTGGAAGTACAAAAACCCCAAAAACTCCCTTAGCACTCAACAGTTTTACAAACCCGACCCGGCCCCCAAATTGCAGTTATGTATCGCTTATGGAATTCTGGATTCAACGAACTCGGTTTCAGTCTTCACAATACCGTCCTTACACCATCTTCACAGCTATGCATTGGGACATCAATAAAAAATTGTGAGAATGACGGTTCAGCCTAGGGTTAGAATTTATAGGCCCAAAGTYTGTTAATATAGGTGCTAACTTGGAATTAATGTTAATTCACAGGTGGGCGTTGATGCATAGAATGTAAGTTGTTGACATTTTGAATGTTTATAGTTTTGTAATGAAAATCAGAAATCTGCATTGAGCATAAAATAGAAAAATTTTCTATTAATACCCTGTACTTTGGGTTTAGTATCACTTTGGTCCCTGAACTTTAAAATGCGATAATTTAATATCCAAATTTTCAAAACATATCAATCCATTACCTATCGTTAACTAGCTGTTAAGTGGCATTTGAGAAGATACAAATGCCATTTAAGTGTCATCTAATTTTTTTTATCAAACATTCAAACTTTGATAAAAAATAAACAGTTCCAAATTCTTACCTCTTCTATTCAAAAAAGTTGGGGTCACCGAAATGCCCACTAAGGCATGACACCAACTTTCTTGAATAGAAGAGGTAAAGATTTGGGACTATTCATTTTTTATCAATGTTTGGATGGTTGATAAAGAAAATTATGTGACACTCGAAGGACATTTGTGTCTTTTCAAATGCCACTTGATAACTAGTTAACAAATTAGTTAATGACAGGTACTGGATTGGCACATTTTGAAAGTTTGGATACTAAATTTTCACGTTTTAAAGTTCAAAGACCAAAATGGCATTAGGCCCAAAGTATAGGGTACTAATCGAGAATTTTCCCTAAAAACATACAAGTATGAAGATATTCCTAATACATGGTTGCATGTTCTTGTAAATATGGTGTGAATACGATCGTGTGAGGGCTGAAACCAATCTCAATTTCAACTTACATACTTCTAAATGACCCTTGTCTTTCTTAGCAATGAAATTAAAATTCCTTTACCCCAAAAAAAATATTCCACATCAAAGAGTTCACAAGAGATGGGCATAGGGCTGTTAGTGGTCAGTTCTACTAACCGAACTGGTTATATTGGTTCTAATTTTGTGATTTGTCCCGATTAATAATTGGATTGGTGCTTGTTCTTGCTTGTTTCAAATCGATTAAGATCCAAAACCGATTATTTTGATAATAATATATAAAGATTTCCTAATTTTCATTATTTAGATAAATTTGATAAATAATATATAAGATAACTATGGTTAAAAACACTTGACTATTTTATTGTTATATTATCAAAAATTAAATCTTAAGTTGTTATTTACATAAACAATTATAAATATCAGTATAATCTGGTCCAACCCGATTATCTTGATTAATAAATGATTCAGGGCTGGTACAGAGTATCCCAAACCAGACCCAACCCATTGACAGCCCTAGATGGGTAGATCCATATTAGGGTGGTTGACCTTGCCCAAATTTTACATGGTTCGCTCCTTTGGACCATAAGGTTAGCACATAGACATTAAGACTACTGGTGATTGTCGCCTAACATTAAACAAAGTATGTATTTGGTATAGCTTTTGTTTACTTGATTTGTCTTTAAAATCGAAAAAAATACTTGATAAACCATTTATTGACAACTAGGCACCACATCAACGGTTGAGTGAATAAACGCTCAATCATTGGGGATGCGTTAAAATGAAGTTTCCCCTAATGATTGGTGTGCACATAAATCAAAACCCACTTTTGTAAAAACTAATGAGAAAATTGTTGATGTGGTGATAACTTGGTGGCATTTTGATAAACACCTATCACAAAACGTCCATGAAACAAGACACATGCAAAGTCTATATGAATCAAAAGTACAGAGAGCRGACATGGAGAGTGAAGAAAGAGTTTCCTTGGCAATACTTTTTGGGGACTTCTGAATGAATTGGAGGCTGTGGAACCAACTATAATTTGATGTGTGTTAAATAGGCAAACAACTACTAAAACAGATCAGTCCATCAGTCAATTACAAAAACTCAGTGGTTCGTAGAACAGATCGGGTTACATCATTAAAGCAATTCATTAAATATTTAAATTTAGGGAAAATTCCTGAACTGTACCCTAAACTTTGGGGGTCGTATCAAGTCAGTCCCTGAACTTCAAAACATGTCTATGCAGTACCCTGAACTTTCAAATTGTGTCTAATAGGTCTCTACCATTAGTTGAACGTTAGTCAATACCATCACGTGACATCAGGTGTGCATTAAATAATTTTAAAAAGGCAAAAATTACCCTTTATGATATTTTTTTAACCATTTTACCCATTTCGTCTGAGTGCTATAAAGGATAATTTTGCCATTTTGAATTTATTTAATGTGCACCTAATGTCATGTGGTGGTGTTGACTAACTATCAAATGTCAACTAACGGTAGGGACCTATTTGACACAATTTGAAAGTTTAGGATACTACAAAGACGTGTTTTAATGTTTGGAGACTGAGTTGACACAATCCCAAAGTTCAATGTACTGTTTAAGAATTTTCCCTTAAATTTAAACCCATTGATGCTCCATTTTCTTTTTCTCTTTTAACAACAAAGTTTTTGAACAGACATTCTATTCAGTTATTACTGATTGTTCCTCTTCTCGTACAGAGATCAGCATGTGTCCCTGGGAAATAAAGGTGTCAATGGACGGGTTTTGGATTCGACCTCGTCCAAATCAAAATCAATTTTAACGGATTGGAGTGAGTGGACGGGTTAGGTCCCCATTATTTATTAGATTGAAATGGACCTGGTCCATCTAAAATAGATTTATAGATTGAAATGGACCTGGTCCAATCCAAAGCCTCATTCGTTTCTCAGTACCTGGAAATGTGCTTACCTGGGCGAATTGCAGTGCTCATATTTGATCGTGTTTCTTTTCCACTTACTCGGGTAAAGACAGAGCCACAGAGGCGGGATATTCTAACATTTTCCACGGGTGGATAAACAATTTACCCATCCCATGAGAGTATCGGTTACCCATGGAACCAATGCTCTCCGGAAAATAATCTTTGCGTGGGACCCATTATTCCGGTGCTTGAACGTGGAGAAATTAATCAATCACCCAATTGACCAACTTATCCCCACAAAATGCCAGCAAATAAACGAGGCCTAAATTAAAATCTATTTGAACAGATAGGACGTTCCAGACATTGAATTGGACCAACTCAAAATGTCCAAAGTTTTTATTGGATTAGATTGGACCTGGTCCATCTGTAATAGACTAATATTGAATCTTATCGGATTGGACCAAATTCAGTCCAATTGACACCCCAACGAAGGAAATAATATATGATCTGAATTATAAACACGAGCCAAATGCTAAGCAGCTAGTCCCTGGGAACTAAGGACCAAAGTGAAGTGCAGCATCCACAAAGATCTAAGTTTTGTCTGTAGAAACAAAGCACAGAATTTCCGAAAGGCTTTTCCTTTAAAAAAAAATTAATCAAGATAAACTTTAATATCAATTCCATTATCTACGAGGGACTGAACTACTGCCCTGATCTTCCCTTCAAACTTGTCACGTTCTCTTGGAGTATATGTAGCGGTATAGACATCAGCTTCTCTTGCTCTCTCAGCTAATATCCTGCCAACGGCCAAACATGCAGGTATATCCGATCGAGACTTCAGCACAGCCTTGATGTCTTTCGAGTTGGTGCCAGCAACTGCCACCTGCTTACTAGTCACCCTATGAGTGAGTGAGGCTGAAACAAACCGCTTAGAGATGAAGACATCAAGTGTGAATGGTTCCATGAATGCTACAGTGCGTTGTTTGAATGATATGTGTTTATGTGGATTTTTGGATTTCTTCTCCTTCTGGTAAGTGTAAGGACGGCTGTTGTCATCATCAACAAAATCCTCCACTCCAAAGAAGCTTCTTGGTGATAAATGGACCTGTAAAGAACATAATAAATAAAAATTAGAAACTAACCATGCTGGTAATACAGCTGTGTTCTTCCCCCCTTTTTCTTTTAATTGTTGGGGGGAGGAGGGCACCAACGGTTTTGGACCAGCAGTAAAAGTGAAAGAATTAGTTCAAGTTCTTTGCCATGTGACTTGGGGGATTAGCATTTGGCAGATGTTGTCAATCCAATCGAATTGAGAGTTTTTATGAGAACAAATAATCACTTAGATCTTTTTCCTGGATCAAGTACAAAGAACCATGGGCAGAGGGAATTGCAAAGATATCTTCTAGATGACCAGCAATGGTTACAGCTTGAGTATATTCCACTTACAAATCATGTCTTCCAGTTCTTCAAAATTTTGCAAGATATTGATCTCACTTTGGGCAATTGAAATTAAAAAAAAAAATGGAGAATAACAGTTCAGCCCAGGGTCAGAATTTTTAGGCCCAAATTACAGTTGGGGTGGGTACCAGCTCGGAATTGATGCCAATTCACGTGTGGGCATTGGTGTGTAGAGTGAGGGTTTTTGACATTTTGAATGTTTATAGCTCTGCAGTGGAAATCAGAAATCTACATTGAGCCTGTTCGTACTTCTCCGGAAAAAAAAAAGAAAAACATAATTTGGATTAAAATTTTTGGGCTCTCAATAGAGGGTGTTCGCTTTACTTTTAGGGTTGAATCCTATGTATGAATCTATTCGGATGCAGATCCTAGGGAAGTAAAGACATCCCTCCCTTCAGTCCAAGAAGTTTATGCCTTAGTCCAGTCAAAAGAGAGAAAGAAATGTGATGAATATTTATACTTTTAAGGGGAAATCAATTGCTTTGGTAGCTAGGAGAGGTGCAAATACAAATGGTTGTAATTTTTTTTAAGAATGATGATTCATAGAAAATGATAAAGGACAGAGGTAAACTTTGGTGCTCTCACTGTCAATGGTCTAAGCACACTAGAGAAACTTGTTGGAATCTTCATTGAAGGCCGAAGTGGGCTCAAGAGTTGAATTAAAAATTAGATTAGGGCAAGAAGCTAGTAGAACCAAAAGCAGTATAATTCAGCAAATATGTCCTCTCAGGAGAGTACTAGCCCCATTGCATCACAATCATGTCCAAGTTCAGATCCCAAGGAAGAAATCCTCAACTCTTTTCGTGATCATTTGGGGTTGTATGGTAGGATACATCACTGGTGGATTCTGTCCTTGGTCCCTCTACCTCCTTTGCATATACATCAAGTAACCCTACCATTGCTTTCCATGTGTCATCTCATACTCCTGAATCTCCTTGGATTATTGACTCCAAGGCCTCAAAACACATGACTAGCAAGTCCAATTTATTTCACGCATATAATCTCCTCTCCAAAAGAGATAAAATAATACTGGCTGATGGATCGTTTTCTACCATAGTTGGTCAAAGAACCATCTTTCTCTTCCTTTTGGTTTTACCCTTTCCAATATACTGTACGTTCCTAAAATTGCCTATTAATTTAATTTCCATTAGTAGCATTACTCATTCCTTAAATTATTCACTAACCTTTTTCCCTTCTTTTTGTGTGTTATAGGATTTGACCTCCAAAGGACGATTAGTAGAAGTAGTATGATGAATGATCTCTATGTGTTGGAGAATAAAGATGGCCTTACGGCTTCAAAGTCCGAGTTGTTCTAGTAAAAGTTAAGCATATTTATGGCGCAACCATCTTGGTCATTTGTCTTTTGAGTCATTAAAAATTGTTTTTCCATAATTATTTAAGTCTTCACCAATAAATGAGTTGCAATGTGAGACATGTTAATTGAGTAAACATCATAGAAGTTTTTTTCCTTGCAAAAATAAAATATCTGATTTTCTTTTGCATATTGTCTACTTTTGATGTTTATGGCCCTGTTATTTATTATATTGATCGATGAGACGATGACTACTAAAGATATACTTGGGTTTATCCAATGAAATCTAGAGATGAGGTGCTAAATCTTGCAAAAGATTTTTAATGCATGGTATTTACCCAATTTCAGACTGAAATTCACATTTTCTAATCGGACAATGCACAAGAGTACTTTCACAATTATCTTAAGAGTTTTTTGTTTCATGTGAGTTTCTTCATCAACAAAATGGCATTGTAGAACGAAATTTTTGTCATTTCTTGATGTTTCCCATGATTGTTGTTATATATGCATGTCCCAAAGATGGAAGCTGTTATGTTTATTGCATATACCATACATCGTATGCCACTTCGGTTGTTAGAGTAATTTGACCCCACATCAACTGTTATTCCCAAAGGCCCCTTTGTTCTCTATTTCTATGTGTGTGTTTGGATGTCATTGCTTTGTTCATGACTTGTCTTCTACTCTTGTTAAGCTTGACCCACGTGCCATTTATTGTCTTCTTGGGTTGTCCTTCTTCTCAAAAGGGCTATCAGTGCTTTGATCATTTTTCTTGCAAGTATTACGTCTCCATGGATATGTCATTTCTTGAGAGTAAGCCATTCTTTCATGTTTTCTCCTTAGGGGGAGAATAGGATTGAGGAGAAACATGTTTAGGTTTAGCTTCCACCTCCATTTCATGTATTCCTTCACTATCACAAGGGCCATCAAAGTTCAAATGTCATGGAACAACTTGAAGTTATGCTACTAATACTATATCAAACTCTCCAAAGGCAAATCCTCAACCAAGTATTCTCGTTCCTATTGATATGCCCGATCCCCTTGATATAGACAAGGTTTAAAGTATCAGAAACACAAAGTGTATCGAAAAGGCAATTTTGAGAAACGTATCGGGATATGCTTTGGGTACGCATAGATACGGATGAAAAACTAAGATATGCATGGATAGCTATGAAACTCGAATAAATCATAAAAAATATGGTAATAACTATAAAGTACAAGGTATATATGACAATAAATAAGTTATTTAAACATAAAACCTTACTTTAATGGTTCACATGAAGTATGAGAGATCAGGACATAATCGGTAACCGTAGAAAAATGATGGAAAAACTAAAATATGTGCATATATACCTTGATTTTTAGAAGTCAAAATAATTTGCCTTAATATTTGTTAGTATAAAAATTTTAATAATCAATTTTAGCCTTTATTAACAAACATCTAGGGGTGATCATCTCAGCTCGACCCAACTCAAAAATTCCAGCCTTGGCCAATAACATTTTATATTATATAAGTATATAATAAACCAAGAAAATTATATGCATATTATACATTATTTAAAATAACATAAAAGACTTGGGCGTGATTTGACCCATAATCAGCCCAATAAACACCCACTAAAAAGAAAAAGTTTATTTTTAAGGATGATTGATAAAAATGGATAACATTTGAACACCAAAATGGATTTGAAAATAGTGGTAGACTCATGGGCATTGTAAACGTGTGGCCAAGGATTGAATCTTCTTATGGCCTACTTTAGCTTTTACACCTAGGATTATGCCAATTTCAAATTTCAAATTCAAACTTGTCTTAAAAGTAAAGAGAGAGAATGTCCGCGCACTTCAAGTAAGCAATTTGGACTCAGGGCAGCAATCATCCTCGGAGTCTCTTCCTTTCACAAAAGAACAAATAGAGCACTTATATAAAATGTTTCAATCTCAATCGTTAAGAAAATCTAACCCATCCTGCTCTCTAGCCCAGTCAGGTAATTTTTTCACTACAGCCATTGCTTGTACCAAATCTAATGGCTCTTGAATATTAGATTCCGGTGCCACTGATCATATGACCGGCACTTCACAAWTCTTCTCTTCATATACACCCTGTGCAGGGAATCAAAAGGTTAAAGTTGCAGATGGTTCCTTCGCTACTGTTGCTGGAAAAGGAACTGTCTATTTCTCTTTCTCTAAATCTTAAAGATGTTCTACATGTTCCTAACGTATCATACAATCTCTTATCTGTCAGCAAACTAACCCTTGATCATAATTGTCGGGTTAATTTTTTGTCTTCTTGTTGTGAATTTCAGGATTTAACCTCGGGGAAGATGATTGGGGGTGCTAAACTGGATGGTGACCTCTACCTCTTTAATAAGGGATCAACCTTTGGAAGGCAAGACTGACAGACTTGTTTCAGCTCTATCTCGGTTTCTAGTGACAGCGAAGTTTTGTTATGGCATTATCGATTAGGACATCCTAGCTTTCAATATTTAAAGCATCTATTTCCCAAGTTATTCATGAATAAAAATCATTCGTGTTTTAAGTGTGAATCTTGTGAATTAGCAAAACATCATCGTGTTGTTTT